CTGAAAGAAAAACCCTGTCACAACATAAAGTTGTCAGAAACCCAAAGTGACTCCCATTTTGGCATCTATGACAAAAAATAAAAAAACTAAAAACATAAGAAAGCAAAAAAGACAGAGATAAAAGACTTGGCATCAACTTTGGGTCAGTGATGCACAGGGTAAAGCAACTGCTGAGCATCACACAACTACACGTCTCCTGATTCCAGGCAGGGATCCACAGATGGCCTTCCTAGGTTTGTTTTGCTAACATTTGGGGTGAGGTGGGCGGGGGTGTTTTTCCGTGGAGGAAGCAATATGTCCCTCTATCAGCACAGAGTAGCTTGTGCCAGTTGGCAGGAGAAGAGGTGATATTTAAAGATTAGAGAATGGGAAACAATATGAAGAGGGAAAAAGGAGTCACGAAGGCAGGAATGATGGCAAGAAAAGGAAATAAAGTCATAGAGAAAAGAGGAATGGAATTGGGTAACTGAACTCAAAACTAGTTGTGTAAAAATGAAGAAATAAAAAGAAAGAAAAGGCTGGAGAACCAGCCAGAGGAATTATGCAGACCATTTAAGGAGAAATGAAATGAACGAGGAAATTAAATTAGGAAGGAATTAAAAAAAGAGGTGGAAACATGATAAAAAATATCAGTGAGAAGGGAAAATGTAAATATGAAAAGGACATTTTCCCTCATGCAGGCAGAAAGAACATATCTCTTAAAAATAGCTCAAAATTGCTCCAAGACATTTCTGCAATAATTTACTTCTGCACTTTTTACACTTTCAGAGACATAGAAGCTGCTTAGTTCTCATAGAAGTACTTAAGACAAGAAAAGCTTTAAGAAACAAACACTCATCCTATAGAACGACTGCCAGGCTGATAACGATAATGAGCTTATGTTGCTGAATAAAGGACATGCACACATAACCACTGAGGAGGTTGGGACTATGAAAGGCATGGGAATGAAATGACACACCCTGCCTAAAAGACTGAGGAAAGACCCTCTAACACACACAGTATGTCACACACATACATGCCACATAGTTCTTCATCTATGTAACAAACGTAAGTAGATTAAAAACATTTTCTCAAAATATTTTTAAGACAATGAAATAAGCAATATTCTCCCTTACTATCTTTATTAAATAGATAAAAATACTGTTTTATACACAAATGTGAAAATATTTGTTTTAAATTTGACTGTTTCAGCTGCTTTTTCCTCAAGATTTTCCAATCCTCCTTCATTTATCTGAATTAAACCTATATGATGCCTGCTTAGAAAACTAAAGGTGCTTTGCATAGCTTTTGATAGACAAACTATATTTGTGAATGATCTTACATTAAAAACAATCTTTAATTAATAAGTGTATTTATCTCAAACATTTTTTTTCTGATAGCATCAATAGTTAAACATCCATATCATAGAATATGTAGATATGCATCATGTTATATAGATAATATCTCCTTCTGTGCTTGATAAAGCATTTCTGAAGTTGATTTTAGTATTTCATAATTATTAGGTACAGTTAACCTAAAAAAAGTAATGATTAGCAAGCTTATACAACTAATGGACCAACCCTCTTTTTCATGCGTGAAATAAAGTAATTTAATCAGGATTAACAAACAAATGTTAGTATAGTCCACTGAGCATTACATAACGTGTTAGTCTTTAGTGAATTCACAAAGCATTATGTAGTCAGACAATGCAAATCAGCATCATGCAAAAGACTGCTTAGGATTTATTGGTCTTTTTGTTCTCATTTGTTCTGATCTTGTAAGAATTTTAGCCACATAACTATAATTAAGCCTCTCTCTTTTGTTGAAAATAAATCGATTTCATATGGAATGATGTTGGAGCTCAAAGACCCTCCTCCAGTTTTAACAAATGTTCTCCTGTCAGTTATAGGTGTAAAACAACCATATTTTATATTTCAGGTATTTATGTTATAATTTTCACTCTGACTTATTTGTATCCAAAGCTGCACATGGGTTAAGTTATTCAACACTGTTACGCAACTTCATTTTATAATATACATATTTCCCCATCAGCTGATATGATTGCAAGCTTAAGAATGTCAAACACAGACAAAAAGAAGGCAGATAAAACTCCAATTAAGACCTTATGTTGAACAACAAAGACACATGGCAAGCCTGACCCTGCAGCATAGTTTTATAATTAGCATAGGAAAATTGGCAGTGAATAACCAAGGTACCTAAATAATGAGAGTAGTGATTAGTGAGTGAGAACAGGTGAGCTGATTAAAAATATGGTACAGGTTCTAAAATGTGGAGGCTACAAACAGTGACATCTGGAAACTGTCAAGAATGAAATAATTTAAATTCTAAACTCACATAAATAGATACAAAAACAATACTAAAACAGAAACATGAAACCAATTGAAAAGCTAAACAATTAAAAGCCTCAGAGTCTGAAGGAGACTCCTTTGCTTACTTTGAACAAAAAATATTTAAATCAAATTTAAAGTATAACATGCATTTTCAGGCATTAAAATGAATCCAATTTAAAACATTGAAATACTTCTTCGCTTAGCGAGAGATGATGCTGTCCTTTGTGACTGATAAAACATTTATTGGGACCCTTAATGTTGAATTTTTATCTGAACTTAGTATAGAACATCTTGTCATACAACAACAGAGGTGTTGTGTTCTTGTCTCTCTGTTGGATCTGAAACGCTTCGCAGCTCATTGAGTTCCCGTAGTGAAACTGACCCTGCCAATGTGAATGACTCACTTCATCAGTCAGCTGTTTAAACAACTTAAGTTAGTGGCTGATTCATTCCCCCTCACCTCAGAGGGCAGTTGATAGTGATGTTACCTCATGCCTAACACAAGCATTTAACAGACCTGAAAACATCTTTTTAATGAAACAGACAGATGTTTATTAAATCTGCCTCTCGGTGTCCAGGGCATATGGCAGCATCAAATCATTAAATCAGGAGCTTCTGATTCATACTTAGGAGAAATACAATAATGTGTTCATACATTCTTAGTATGAGGAACTAATATTTGGCATAGATGTTTTTAATATTTTGGTTGTAGTAAAAACTCGATTGAACGTCTGGTTTCACTATGTCATTTTGTGAGACTTAATGATAAGTGATGTGAAATAACTTTGTAGCTTAAGACTACTTACTACTAAATTCAGAGTAAATTAATTATCCCCTATATTTTTGATATTTCCTACTCTTCATTTTTTCCCAGCATAAAGCAAACCTCTGACTTTGACCCCACTGAATACTGCTCCTATGCAGCCCATGTATGTTAATGGGTTAGTATTTTTATATTTTTTTCTTGTGCATTAGTGTGATAAATGTTGTGTGTCCAATCCCTATATTCAACTGAAGTAAGAAACTTTTGTAAATTTAGAAACCAAAGAGGCAAAAGTTGTATGTATGATTTGTATGATATGTATGATTTGATAACATCTGATGGTGAAGCTAGCAAAAAATCTGATTTTGCACCAATCAAACAAGTTGCGTTAAATGAAGAATACAAGGAGAATCACGTGTTAATAGATGGTAAAAGAGTTAGCTTGCTTGTGGATGATGGTGTTAACTGGGAGCAAGACACCTAAATACATTCTCCTTTGGTTTTCTTTAACAGGAGGTCAGTTCTGCCCTTTAGAAAACCTTTTTTACTTGCAAATAAACTGCAAAGACCTTGGTTGTTGGGAAAATGAAGATCTCAGTAGGGAATGGAGATATCAACTATCAGGACTTTTTGTGATATTATTCACAGTGATGATAAAACATGTTAAAAATCTACAAACATGCACACTTTTTGAAAATACTGCATAATGTCTTAATCTTACAAACATCAGTACAGCAATAAAAACCAGACTCATCTAATATCACAATGGCAACTTTCCCTACATGCATTAGACTGTGCTTCTCTTTCCATGACTCCCAGTAGACTTTTGTTTTTCGTTCCAGTTTGTAGTCATAGTTCCTTCATGGAAACATTTTTTTCTATAATAAGAGATGCCTGGAAATTACTTCTAACCTATTACTGAACTCCTGCAGTGTGGACACACACAAACAATGAAGCATCCTGCAATAGCTGTGAGTTATGAAACACTGCTTGCAGCTCAAAACATTTGACTACCAGATTGTATCCAAGGTAATTTGAAAAAATTTTAAGTGCATGCAATACCCTGTCAAGAAAAAAATTGAGACATAAACCCTCTTTACCAAATCTTTGTAGGGATTCGGCTGTTGTATTTACACATTTGTTTCAAATCTCAGATCCAATTATTTGTCCTCTTAATCACTGATTAACCACTACAAAAAAAAAAAAGGAAAAAAAAGAAGCAAACATTTTCAACTCTCCAATTTCTCCAATATAAAACAAAGAAATCCTAGATTACTGCAATTTGATTCAACTGTTTTCAGAAAGGATTCCCCAAGAAGAACCCAAGAGTTATTCATCCTGTTGACTGAGCTACTGGTTTTTCCTAAAATTCAGCTTTTTACCTCTCAGATCTGTGACACAATCACATCATCCTCAAACACTTTACCTCATCCCTCCTCCTTCCCATCACCTCCCTCTGTCGTCTCTCCCCAACGCACCACTGAGAGCGAAGCAGCTTTACTCTGCTGTTCTCCGGTCTCTGTTGAGACTGTACAACATAACGCTAAAGCGAGTTGCTTCCAGATGTACTGCATTAATCTCAGCGCAGCACATCCTTCCACTGACGGGCGAGGGACCGCCGGCCGTCAGTAAGGCAGCGCGCATCTGTCCTCAACCCAGAAACACTCTTCTCTCATGCAAACGCGCTGCATTATGAGAGGAAGGTTTTCATAAGAAATGTATGCAAACACAGACTTCCATGCATGAGCATCATTTCTCCCTGAAGGTGAAGAAGTCTTAACAAGCCAGAGCTGCCGATAGGAATAGCTTTGGAAACCAAAAAGTGTGTGTGTGATTTTTAAAACAAATATATTTCTGCAATTAAGAGCTGACCGGAAGTAGAGAATAGTAAAATTATGAATACTCACCCTGCAAAGCAAAGAACTGAACAGTGCAGCTGAGACAATGTGCCTGCTGAGAAGCCAAACACCAGATTTGCAGTTTCTTCCCCTCCTATCTCTCCCTTACCCTACAGTATCTGCTGCTCTCGCCACACACCCACTCTGCCTCTGACTCGTGTTTCCCCAAATCTCCCCTCTTTCTCCTCTCTTTTGCTCCTCCTCTCTCACTCCTCTTCCTTCTCCTTTACTTCGCTGCTCTTTCAGCACTGCGGAGAATCGCTTGGATTGGCTTCACTAGTTTGGCTACAGGGAGGTGGGACTGGTGTGTTTCTTTGCGTGTGTGTATGTGTGAAGTGAAGGGGTGGGGTGGTGGCGGTGGCGGTGGGGTTACAGTGATGTAGGCTAGAGGGAGAAGGAGATTCACGCGTACATGCACTGAAAAAGCAGCGTGGCACAAGAGCGTGGTGCCTGGAATTGAGGACACATCATGCACTCTGACAGCATGACGGATTCAGACATACAGCGGCTATTAACATTAACTCATTAATGAATACACCAAAATTTATCCCTCATGTGATTCGGAAAATATCAAATAACAGAAAAAATGTTTGGAAGGGGACTTAATTCAACTTGAATTAAAGAGACAACACATGGGGAAAGATGGCATAAGTCTTGTCCCATTGTATATTCTGCTGAGGGGATGCTTGTCTTCATCAAAAACAAGCTTGATGAAGCAAGAGTTGATTGGAATTTAGATGTAACAAAATCCTAAAAGAAACTTGTCACAAGCTGCCAAGCTAGCCGTACAATGCAATCCTTTAGATTAAACTCTATATATGTCTTAGGATGGCCCAGTCAAAGTCAAGAGGTATCCACGTGATTCATGTCAAGACTTGAATTACCTGATACTTAACATTATGTTTCTGTTTTTACCATTTGATTCTGACATACATAATGTGGGTAATATTATTCAGGGTTTTTTTTTTAGCAGAAAGTTATTTATTCATATTTCTGTAAGAAATTATTTATGACGAGATACAATTCAATACAGGTTATATACATTGTTATTATATCATTTATGTGCTTGCACCAAAATAACAATTCAGATATTTGTAGATGACATCTCGATGGAATTTATGCACATTGACCTGTTCTAGTTTATCTATTTACATTGAGGGAAATCATTATTTGATACCACTCTGATTTTTTTTAAGCTTCTCGGTTATACAAATTTTCTTTAAGTTCTATGGCAGTTTTATTTTAATATGAGACATATCTGAAAATGTGAGAAACACTTTGCTTAACGATAGAAATGAATTTGCATGTCATTTAGTGGATAACCATCTGTTGGCAAGCACAGCTGTATGACATTTTCTCATTCTGCATTCCAATTACCTCGAAAGTCAGAATTCGGAACTGAGGGTGATCGGATTTTCTCCCTGTGGGAAATCTGGTGGCATTTGAGTTAATTTTTCCAATTGGGAATTAAGAATTTCTGAATTCTGATTAAAAATGTACCACACACTTACAATTGGTCACCAGTTTGCACACTTGTGAGAGATTTTCAACCACCATTATTTATAGAACCTCTTTAAATTCTCAGTGTTTCTTTGCTATTTGCCAATTTAAAGCGTTATGTTCTATATCAAATCTTCTACAGAACTGGAATTGGGAAACACGTTAGCCCATTCCATGACATGAGCAGTATTCTTCTTTAGCCACTAGCTAAATAAAGCATTAGTTATGTTTTCAAAGCTTTTGTCATGCTGGAAGATCCTTTCACAACTTGTCAGTGTTCTGCCTCATGAAAGAAAGTCCTTGTGCAACATTTAAAGGTGTATGAACCTTTTCATTATCCCCTCAGTGTAGTGAAATTCTCTTATGCCCCATAAAGAGTACATAGCTCCAAAGGATAATATTTTTCAATGTTTAGTGTCAAAACACTTTCCAGGAGATTTAATAATGTATCACAAATTTCTTTTTGAGTTTTTCATGAATTTCTTTGTTTTACGTTAAATTAAAGACATACATTTTTAAAGATTCTTGAAGAAACCAATAGAAGTTTATGTAACTTCAGCAAATGTTCAAGCAAACAGTGCAACTGACAAGTTTATCTTAGAGCTCTTTGTACATTTCTCCCAGTACCGTTGCATGTGACATGTGTGTTTATCTGTGCTTGTTCTGCTTCCATAGACTCTGTCATGGTTGAGTGGCCCCATCAGCTCCTGGCGACCCACAGAGTGATACAGTGGGGTGTGACTCATTTTGTGCACAGGCTCCTGTTTGTAAATGTCTGGGTACTTTATTTGTGAGGACCATAAAGAAATTGCTCCGGCTTGCTAACACAGGTAAAGTAAGACACAGCTTTTTTTGTCTGACTATCTGACATTAAAGCAGCCAGTATAACTTTAGCTCCTTTTAGGTCAACTATGATTAACACCTTTATTTATTTATGTTAAAAATCATGCTAAATTAAATAGATCATTATTCCATGATTTTTTTGTTACTTACTTTGATGTTGAAAGTCTACAAGGCCTCAGAAACAAAGAAGCCGTTAATCGTAACCCTCCTAATAGTTTTGGAATTGTCTCAACAGCATCTTATTTTTTTGGAGACATATTCTGAATTCAGATGAAACTGAAGTGAAAGTGTTTGACAAAAGAAGGGGGATGAGGGTGTAGATATCGTTCAGAAAATGCAGAGGCGGCAGCATCATGTGGTGTTGGTGTTTGCTGCAAAATGGCAAGAGGAGTTCAGCAAATAGATGGTATCATAGGAAAAGAAAATGATCGTCATGATTCACAGTTCAAGTTATGTTCAAGCTGTGTTGTGCCACCATCATTTGGTTTACCTGTGCCTTGCCTGGTTGGCTACCTGCTTCACCTGAGTCTCACTCTACTTAAGTGCCTCTCAGTCTCTGTCTCTTCGCCAGATTATCGACCGCCCCATGCCACTGGTGATTCAACATACCCTTCCAAAGCTCCCAGCAGTTTGATAGACTCTCCTTATGCTCACATATTTCTCCTTTCTGCCAAGCCCTTGATGGATTTCTCCTGCTCTTCCAATAACTGGACCACGACTCATGCTCTGCATCACGACCTCCAAGTCTCGCCTTCGCCTATCTGACAATTACCACTCTGTCTGTCTTCTTGTCTTCTTGTGTTTGTCCTCAGCCTGATTATTGACTACATCCTTAAGATGCTGGATCTGTACGTAGTACACTTTTTAGTTTATTAAAACAAAGTGTAACTTTTACTTAAAATATGCAATGCTTATGATTTTACAGTGTCACTTAAATAAAACACAAAAATACAGAAGTAGGATTCTTGTAACAACATCAAACCAGTATGACATGAGCTGCGGATGAGAAAAGATATGTATCATATAAAGAGTTTGGATCTGTCTGTGGTTGCAGCTGTTTGTCATCGGGTGTTCAAATGTAACAACTCAGCAGCAATCTGGAAAGTGTTGTGTGTTCTCTGTGGGATACAAGCTCACCGGTAATCCCATCCTACATACATGTCAAGGTTTGCCTTTGGCCTACATCTTTATCCATTCAAATCAATCAGTGTAATGAAAAGTACAGCTGTAAAATGGGTCACAACCACCTTGGGTGGGCTCTCGTATCTCTCATATCTTCAGGTTAAGTGAGCTTCACTAAGTACGATTGCAATGAAAATCTGTAAAGTTTTCCTAAGAAACTGTTGACACAATGTTAGGGAACATCCCATAGAAATTATTTTGTGCATTAAAACTGAATGTTGTTATAGTTATTTGCATGTTATAACAGAGTAAAAGTTTCTGATAATATAGTGTTGTATATATCTGTGTCACACATCCTTGGCCACCATTAAATAGTTTTGATAACAGATGGCTCATGCTGTTCAGGCTGGGGTAGACTGGGAAATCATAAATATTAGAGTATAGACGACTTTTCAAATTAAATTTAAAGCCAAGAATTAGGAACCCTCCTGCCATTTATGGTGTAATATGTGACTCATAATTACAAACATAGTAATAGCGAGGGAGCACATGGCCTAGTTAATGGGTTATTCCCGAGTCAGGCCAACTGGTCCTGAGTCAAAATGCCTTCTGCTGCTGCAGAGATCAGGGGACGCAAAACATCTGCAAGTGCAGCCATCGTTTTTACATTTGCTTTTGTTTCTTGACATCGGCTTAAAATCCAAAGCAGCAAATGTCAAACTTAAAGTTGTTGTGACTTTAATGTATTAAGCAAATGGAATTTGTGTAAACTAAAAGACAATACCCATTAGTGGTGAATTATTTCTAAGATACTTTCTTAATTATACTTTAAGCCAATTTCATTTCTATGTATAACTGTGTGAAATCAAATCAAATCAGATTTTACTTGCATGGCACATTTCAGCAGCAAGGCATTTTAAAGTGCTTTACATCATAACAAACACAAAAACACAAAGTCATGCAACTTAGAATCAACAATTGAAACATTACATTAAGTCAAGTGTTATCATTAAATCTGTAATTAATTATGTTTCAAAAGCAACTATAAACAAGTGGCTTTTTAATCAAGATTTAAAGGAAGTCAGTGAAGAATAGGAAAACAAGGATTATCATTGACGTCCATGAAGAAACATAAAATGTCGTCAAGAAACAAAAACAAAAGGTTTCTGCTTTGAAGCCATTCAAGTTTTTTTTTTTTGGGACACTTTTTCATGGTTCATTCATGTGTTGAAATTGTTTATTTTTTTTTTATTTAAGTGCAAAGGTTGTTGTGCAGTTTAGGACTGTTAGAGTGAAAGGTAATATGGTTGCCTTATGCATTTACAGAGAAACTACCGGACAGGAAAGGCATCAGTGTTTCTTAAGCTCATGTATACATTTTAGAGTCACTGAGGTGGTCCAAAGGAGTGAAAAAAATAAATTATATTGAATAGTGATCATTATGTAAATGAAGTTTTGGTTCATGTAATAGAGATCTTAAATCACACCAAAGGCAGAGCCAATAGAACCTTAAAACAAAAATAATACACAAGGCAATTTTTCAAGTATCAACATCCTGATCCCTCGAACTCTTTGTGTCAGATTTGTCACAAAACACAATAACAACCCCAAAGTGCCACTTTCAGAACAATAACGTTTTCCAAGATGTCAGTGACAACACAATGGCTTAAAAGTTCAGAGTCCTCAGTCAAAAACAGAAACACTGACCTTTATGAATAACAAATCAAATTTTAGGAAGATCTAATTAGGGCAGGCGTTTTTGTTTCACCCATC